TCTGAATAGACTGTATATTCTCTGTGTAAATAGTCACCATTATCTCGCTAGTAAACTTTTTGCACCTTTCACTACCAGTTGGTCTCCGGCTTCCTTATTTACCACACCCAATAATACTTTGGCCACCAAATGAGAAGGGAGCACTCACTGGAGAAGACCCTGATGCTGGGAAAGATTGAAGGTCAAAGAAGACGGCAAAGATGGCAAAGGATGAGATGGTTAGACAGTGTCATTGATGCAACGAACATGAAATTGAGCCAACTTCAGAGGATGGCAGAAGACAGAAAGGCCTGGCGTGATCTGGTCCATTGGGTCGCAAAGAGTCGGACTTGACTGTGCAACTGAACAACAAAAAGTAACTGAAACAAATGTTGACCCCAAGAAAGAAAATGACTTTGCAAATGAATGCCAGCTGTGCCAGTTTAATACAGAGACAGTGCCAATGACAGAACATCTCATTGGCCAAAGACATGGAAAAGCATATCTTATGAAACATTTTCCAGATAGAGGAAAGAGTAAAAACAAACAACAACCTAGCGGAGAAGACCAAAGCTGAGATGACCTCAGCCCAGTAGTGGAGCATCCCAGACAGGAAGATGACCACAGCCCAGCGGAGAATCATCCCAGAGATGACAGAAGCCCAGCAGAGGACATCACTTAGAGGAAAATAACACCCCAGCAGAGGGGGACTGTGAGTTATAGAGACCACAAACCTTAAATCACCAGCAACAGAGGAGAAGAATGGACTGAACTGAAGTTACAGACTAAAGACTATAAGAAATTCCCTACGTCAGAAGAAGCTACACACAGCTCTTCAGAAAAAGAGATGTATTCTGCTTAAGGACTGGGGGGGGATTTGTAATGATTCTGTGTGTGAAGTTTGAAGAGAGAGCATAGTTTTTGAGTCCATTCTGTGTGAATAAGACAAACAGTTTTGTCTGTTGGAATATGTGTTTTGAGTCTATTCTGTGTGAATAAGACAAACAGTTTAGTCTGTGGGAATATGTGTTTTGAGTCTATTCTGTGTGAATAAGACAAACAGTTCCTGTGTGGCTATATAGATGAGAGAGTGAGAGATTTGACTGAGTGTCTATGCCTGTCAGAATGGGGTATTGGGAGTCTGAGAGACTGTTTATGACACCAAGCTTTGCCAGTTATATTTACAAGTTCCTTTCATCAGCAACAGTTCAAAATAACCAGAAACATATCTACCAAGTTTAGGTACACAGAGAGAGTTTTAAAGGTAAAACAACCTCCCCAATAAGCAAGGACGCCACAGTCTGTGTCTGTGTTCAATGGATTCCCTACTGAATGGTTAAGCAAGGCCTGACAAAACATCTGGAATTATTTCCTCCAATCAGAGACAATAATAACCTCTCTGTGTCAAGCTGAATTGGGCTGTGGTGGCCGGGTGCCTCCAAACAACTGAGGGGTGCAAAGATTGCAATTCTCATTTAGAGGCCCTTGACCTCATCCCACAACCCTCTTCCCGAGTCGTCATGGGGAGAGAGCACTGACTATTATACCAGTTTATGGCCCAAATCAGGGGTGATGCTGACTGGCGTTGTTTCTGCCTTGTAGAAGCAGGCGCAGGAGGTCAGACTGGGATGGCACCGCAAGGAGAGGGTGGGCTACGCTTTCGCTCCCTTGCGCGTTTTTGTGAGCGAGCAGAGTCCAGTGGCTCTGCCCTTTGCCCCGCTGGGGAAGCACACCTCTAGGGCGTGGAATGTATCACAGGGCGAGGCCCTTCTCATGAGATGTTGCGGCAGAACTACAGGAAACCTCGAGAGGAACCGCCTGAGATCACCACAACTTACAACATGGATGCTCTCCTCCCCACTTTAGCATTTCTTAGAAATCTTCATTTGGTTTTTGGGTGGTACTTGGCTTGGATTTAGACACATTTTAATTGCAGTGTTTGCTCTCATCGTGGGAACCTTCAGTATTTTATATGCAAATTCTTTGGCACTTGCAAAGGAGCTGTGGTCGCCTCCCCTGCAGGGAAACAGCAGCCAGGAAGAGGGATGGGGAAGGGGGGGGGAAGGGAGGGTCATACCAGATCCAAAGGGTTTGGGCAACAGACTTGACCCTGGTTACTGGCCAAGCCCATAAAAGAAGCCAGATGGGAAGGCAGAAGCTCTGTCTCAATTGTATCTTGAGCAACAGACATTGTTGTGATTGGCTGGGCATTTCTGGGTCCAGCAGGACCTGCCCACTGGGAAGAGGATAAAAGCAGGGTGGCTGGAAGGAGACCCGAGAGTCCGGTCACAGCAAGCGGAGACTGCCAGCGTGCCAAGAGAAAGACACAACAGACACATTAAGGTGAGTTTGAGGGACACGGGGGGCACGATATCTCTAATAATAAAAGGACGGGAGTGCCTGTCTGTCTGTGCCAGGCCTAGCTCATCAGAACATCAAGCCATGTGCCTCCCAACTGGCCACCACATTGGGGATGATCGTTTGGGACGGAGAACACCCTGGCCTAAAGTAACGCCAGAATATGCCTGGGTTACTTGCTACGGAGTGTCTTTGCCAGGAGAAGGATACTTGTCTCACAGCAGGGGAGGGAGGGGTGGCTGCAATCCTGCCCAGCAGGGCATTCAGTCAAGGGGGGGCATGGCACTGGAGGGCATTTAGCCCCACGGAACCCTCTTTGCCCACGGTGCCACTTAGGAAGGCCTGAAATCCACAAGCGCAGCCACAGAAGAAAGCCAAGTACTGGGAATAGATGGGGGGGGTGGCGTGCTCCTTCCCGTCCATCTGTTCCTTTCATGTTGTTTCCCCCAGTGTTCCCTCTAAGTTGAGTTAGTGTGAGCTAGCTCACAGTTTTTTAGCCCCCAGCTCACACATTTTTGCCTTAGCTCAGGACGAATAGCTCCAGAGCACGCTAATTGATGCAGTACCAAATTGCTCGGTCACAAGGTAGAATTTTTGCTCACAAGGCTTCACAGCTTAGAGGGAGCATTAGTTTCCACCCCTTTATTCTTTTAATTGTAATTTGACTTTCCTGGGCCCCCCCCCCCCCGCCCCAATTCACCCCTGTAGAGTACTGATGGCTCCAGCAAATGTTAGTAATGCAGTCAGGGTGCATCGAGGTTGGGAATTCTCCCCCCCCCCCCATTCCTGCAGCCAGAAAACTCCATTGCTCGGCTCCAGCACCCCTCCCTCCTCTTCTCTGTTGGCCGTTTTATTGGCCAGCAGCTGCAGGATGGTGATGGGAGTTGTAGTGTCCAAAGCAAAGGGAATGGGAACACCCGGGGCCCAGATTATTCCCCAAAACCTCCCTGGGCTATTTGCAGTGGAAGCAGAAGGGTTTACTTCCTAGAAGTCGTGATGTCAGAGGCTGGAGAATTGCACCTCCTTCACAAACCAAGAGGGGTTTAAGAAATTCCCTGAGCTCTGTTTCGTTTCTGTGGCTGTGCACTTCCTCACACAGAAGAGAAGGGAAGAGATTGGATTTATACCCCATGGCCCTTCACTACCCGAAGGAGTCTCAGAGCGGCTTACAAACTCCTTTCCCTTCCCTTCCCCACAACAGACACCCTGTGAAGTAGGAGGGGCTGAGAGAGCTCTTTCGAGGACTGCTCCCGAGAGAACTGCTCTGGAAGAACTTGTGACTGACCCAAGGTCACCCCAGCAGGTGCATGTGGAGGAGTGGGGAATCAAACCCAGTTCTCCCAGATTAGAGTCCGTGTTCCTCACCATGACACCAAACTGACTCCTTACAGTGGTCCTGGGAACCACTGGAACTGTTCGAAACATCTTTGATTTTTAGAGACTTCTGCTGAAATCAACGTCTTCCTGCAAGCCAAAGCAAAGCCTTAGCTGCAGCTACACTGATGGAGGAGGCAGCTGGTTTAAATGCTGGTGTTCCAATTGCTTTCTTTAGCTCTGACCTGGATGGCCCAGGTAGCCCTCCAGGTTGGGGAAATACCTGGAGATTTGGGGGCGGAGCCTGGGAAGGGAGGGACCTCAGCGGGGTATAATGCTGTCGACCCTGCAGGTCTAAGCTGCTTCTTTCTCCAGTGAATGGGTGTCAGGGTCCTTAGTCAGGTTACACAACACAGGGCTTCATGAGAAGATAACTGTTTATTGGTAAATCCAGTACTAGAGACATGTGTACAGCTTGTGTCAGGAATGGACGCCAATACGAGGGCCTCTGACTTATAGTAGAATCAAACATCCCCCCGGTACGTATAAGCCAATGGATACATCTCAAGCATGCTGGCAAAGCAAGCTGGCAAAGCAAAAAGCCATTAACTTTCCCAGCCGAGAAAAGTTGCAGCTTTAGCATCTACAAGATCAAGCATAAGAGAACATACAGCTGGTGAGCCAGGGAGAGCTGAGACAGAAAACAGGAGGGCACCCCCTCCACATTCCAGACCTATGACAGGGCTACCTGACACAGGGTCTCTGTCACCTGGAGATCCGTTGTGACTCTTGCACACCACAGACCATCTTTTCTAGGGGAGAACGGCCAGGTGTCCCCTCAGGCCACCAAAGGAACCCAGACCCGGGACACCAAGCTGTCACACTGTCTCACTGGCTTGGTTCAGACATCAGATTAAACCCCATTTGGATAGGAGCACAGCTTGTCTCCCAGCTGGCTTGCTCCCCTCCCTCTTCCCACCCTCCTCCTCCTCCTCCTCCTCCCTCCCTTCATGACAGGGCTCGACTGAGAACTTCCCTCGCATGATGGAGCTCCGGCACTCTGTGATGGAGGTGCCTTTGGGCCAGCAAAAAAGTCCCTTTACTCCCCACGAGCTGGGATGCCAGACTGGGATCACGCAGAGGTCCGGCATCCCACTTTTGAGAGGACAAACAAAGGGAAGGTCTCCGAGTTCGGAAGTCACGGTGAGCTGGAGGCTGATCCAACCGAGCAGTTTTGGATGGGGCTCTGCCGAGGGAGGAGGGAGCACAGCAACGTGTCCAAGCTCGGTCCAGCCCCGTTTCCTTTGACACCTGACCATAGCCATTGCCTTCCCCCCCCACTCTTGCAGGATGCTGGTCTTCTGGGCTTGGACGCTGGCCCTGGGGCTGCTGGCGGGGCGTGGGGAGGCCCAGAGCTGCACGCAAGAATACGGAGGTAAGTGACAGGGTTTTGCGGCAGGGGGACGAAGGAGGGCGAGCTGTAGTCAATAAAAGGGGGGGTCCGCCACTTGAACGCAACTCCCTCTTTGAAACTGGTGTTCTGGTTTCTGCCACACTCAGGTCTTGTGACAAAGGGAAACCCTGGGGACTTCCTCCATTGGAGCACAGTTGCAGAAGACTAGAGAGGCGAGGCCCAGCCCTCTCCCTCACCCCACATGCCCCACTAGCCCTTTTATTACCCCACACGCACACACAACCGCTCCATCTGATGTACAGCCTGAAGGAGGGAGGCGGCTGCTGTTCCCTTCCCGGAGACGTCCTGAGGATGCAGCGCCCGTTTCTCAGCAACGAAACTGCCGGGGCTCCCCTGCCACGAATTTTGTTAGTCTTTAAGGGGCTCCTGGACTTCCTCTTTTCCGCCCTCACCACCAGGCCTTTGGCATTATCCTCCGGGAGATCCAGGCCCACAGCCCCCACTCCCCAAATTTCTGATCAGGCACTGAAGCAGGTGAAAGTCTATTCCTGCATTGCAAGGCTGTGAGAGGTGAGCTGCTTCCCAAATGGTCACAGGGTGATGTAGTTTGCCGGTGTTCAAAGAAGACAGGACACAAACAGCTGCAGAAAACTCTGTGTCTCAGCCAGGCAGGGCACAATATTTACTGAAAATTTCTCCCTCCGTCCCCTCCCCCTTTTCTCCCTGCGTAAGGGAAAGTTACAGGCATACGATCATAGTATGGAATAAGCTCACAGCTCCTTATCTCTTTTGTCCCTTTGCCAAGGTAGCTTCTCAAGATGAACTCAGCACATCAGCAGATGTTTCCGCCTTGTGCAATTACCTGGGTTTCCAACCTCTAGCCAGGAGAACAGTGATCTCCCTGCAGGAACAATGTTAACTCTCCCGGGCCTGCCTCTCAAGAGCGGACATTGTTCCTACAGGGTGACAACTGAGAAGGGGCGGCCTGCATTTCCCTGCATGCTTCTTAGCCCCACGTGCTTCCACGTTCCCCTCCCACCAGCCCCTTCTGCACCAAGGAGTTTGAAAAGGGCAAAGGGGGAGGCACTGGTGCAGGCCCTCCACAGAGACGCAGCAAGGAGACTGGCCCACCTCTCAGCTTGGTCTCTTTCACTGCCTTCCTCCTCCCAGGACTCCACTGCAGGGGCGTCCCTGTTGCTTTGCACAGTCACCCAGAAGCACACCACGTGCTCCTTGTTCTTGTCTGCTAAACCAGGATCCCACGGAAAACAGGCACTGATGACCGCTTCTGTCCCCTCTTCTTCCTCCTCCTCCTGTCATCCATAATTCCAGGCCCGAATCTGGCCAGAGGTCGGCCAACCTCCCAGTCCTCCACACACCCACACAGTGGAGCGTCTGGCTCTGCTGTGGACGGGAACTGTAACGGGCTTCGGCCAGCCTTGACCTGTACTCACACCAAGCTGCAGGACAAACCCTGGTGGTCAGTGGACTTGGGCAGGGAATACTCCATCTCCATTGTGGTGGTGAAAAACCGGCAGGACTGCTGTGGAGAGAGGATCCGGGGGGCCACGGTCTATGTGGGGAATCGCATGGGTGACTTCAGTGAAAGCAGCATCAAGTGAGTATCGCGTATGCCCCAGTTGCTCTCCCCCCCTCACACTTCTTTTAACAAACTTCCCCCAGAGATAGAAGTCCTCTAAAAGGACAGGTTTTACCCACCGTTTCAAGGCACTGCCTTTAATTGTAATGGACATTCTGGTCCCCATTCGGTGCTGTGAACAGAGTTTGCTCCATCACTGGGCGATAAATCAGTCCATTCCAGGCCAGGAATCTCTGTGTCAACAAACAGAGAACCAGACGGTCTAGAGCCCTGATGGCCAGCTAGACAAGAAATAACGCAGAGGGATTCCAACTACATTTCTAACCAGGGCTCATTTCGTAGAAAAAGAGGAGCAGGAGCTCATCAGCATAACATTAGCATAACTTATTTGCATAGGCCACACCCCCTGACATCACCGGAAGTGTGTCAGAAGGCAACACCCACCGCTATTGCTAGCTATTGGGGACACCCACCTCTCAGACTCCACTGGACTGTTTTGGATTGGATTGCTAGCTATGGGGGGGGGGGGACATGCAGATCTGTCTTCACAGAGGAGGGAGAGCTTGTGCCTGAATAAATTGGATTGCTAGCTATTGGGGGGGGGGACATGCAGATCTGTCTTCACAGAGGAGGGAGAGCTTGTGCCTGAATAAAACCTGGTCTTAAAGGTGCCACTGGACTGTTTTGAACCGGGGGGCGGTGGGAGGGCTTTGCAGCTTACCTGGCTGCTTCTTGCTCTGACTGAGGGCTGCTGGAAGCAGGGGGTGGGGCTTGTTGTATGTGCCCGCCCCCTGGGCTCTTTACTGCCGGAGCTCCACTCCTGTGCGCTCCTGCAGGAAATGACCCCTGTTTCTAACCAAGCGTTCCCCCATTCCTGAAGACTGATTCATTTGGAGCTGGTGCCCCCGCATAGCTGACCCTCTTTCTCCCCTCGCAGCTGTGGAACCATCACAGACCTCCGGGAAGGATCGCTCACTACCATCCACTGCAATGGAGCCATCGGACGCTTCGTAACCGTCGCCATCCCCGGCGGGGAATCATATCTGACTCTATGTGAGGTGGAGGTCCATGGCACCGATGCCCTGTCCCATTGTTGTTAGAGCTCACAGCGTTGTTGTTCATTTGTGTGTGTCTCGGTGTGTGGAATCTGATGACGGATTTCCAATAAGGTTCCTGGGAGGAAGTCTGGGGCCCCAGAGGCAAGGTGTTACTTCTCGTTTGAAGTATACCTTAGAAGAAGAAGAGGAGATTGGATTTATGCCCCACCCTTCACTACCCAAGGAAGTCTCAGAGCGGCTTACAAACTCCTTCCCCTTCCCCTCCCCACAATAGACACCCTCCTGTGAGGTAGGTGGGGCTGAGCTCTGACAGAAACTGCTCTTTTTCAAGGACAGCTCTTATCAGAACTACGGCTGGCCCAAGGTCATCCAGCCAGGTGCAAGTGGAGGAGTGGGGAATCAAACCCAGTTTTCCTGGATTAGAGTCCGTGCACTTAACCACTACACCAAACTGGCATTTGACAACCCCCCCAAGAATCATAAAGTTGGAAGGGTCTTCCAGGGTCATCTAGTCCAACCCCCTGCACAATGCAGGAAAGTCACAAATACCTCCCCCCCACACGCACAAGTTTTAGCTTTCCTAACTCTCTCTCCCTACAAGCCCTGGTTATTTGTTTGTATTCATCCTTGGCTATCAGGCCCTCCTTCCACTTTCTGAATGAGTCTTTTTTATTTCTCAAGTCTTTAGAAAGCTGTTTATGGACCCACCTTGGCTTCTTTAGGCTCCTCCCCTTTCCCCTTCTCATAGGAATCATTTGTGCTTCTGCCTTCAATATTTTGCCTTTGAGAAACTCCCACACCTCCTGAACTCCCTTCTCCTTAAGTATTTCTGACCATGAGATTCTACCCAGCATAACTTTAAATTTGTCGAAATTTGCTTTCCTGAGATCCAACCTATATGTCTATGTACATCGTTTCCCTTCCCCAAGACTGTAAATTCCAAAATTACATGGTCACTATTACCCAGGGATCCTACTGCTTTCACCTCGCCAACCAGTTCTTCCCTGTTGGTGAGAATCAAGTCCAAGATAGCAGATTCCCCCGGTTTCCCTCCCCACTTTCTGGGAAATGAAGTCGCCGGCAAGACAAGTCAGGGATTTATTGGACCTTTCATTTTTAGCGGAGTAGGACTTCCAACCAGTGTTCCCTCTAGAGAGCCAGTTTGGTGTAGTGGTTAAGTGTGCGGACTCTAATCTCGGAGAACCAGGTTTGATTCCCCACTCCTCCCCTTGCACCTGCTGATGTGACCTTGGGTCAGTCACAAGCTCTGGCACAGCTGT